TATTGATGAACATGTGGCCGTAGTATAGGTAGACAAGAAAAGCTCCTTAGTGTTAGCTCATGAATTTCGTCAAAGTCCTTCCGTGTTCATTTCTGTGAAAGCGAGTACTATGAAACTGCTTTATTAAAATTGGGCAAGTCAACATGAACTTATTTGATTTTAATGAAGAGAAAAGATTTTCTAATGTTTAGTAATGAAAAATAATGGCGATAATTTTATTTTGTTTTTTTATATTATTTTATTTTTTTTGTATTAGTGTTAAGATTTTAAGAGAAGATAAAGAGAAGAAAAAAAAAAATTTTGAACAGAGAAAGAGAACAAAAAAAAGAAGTTTTTTCAGGAAAAAAAAAATTAAGTGAGGAAATAACGCGAGGCCTTTCGAATTGTTCTTTTCAAGCGATAATTGATGACTTCATTATAATACTTTTAGTTTCCGGATTTACTTATTAACAGGGGGTCATTTTTTGGGAATAATGAATACTGTGCAATAATGTTCGATTAATAGTTAATAATACCAAACGATAATATCAATATTTAGTAGTAATGCACAATAATACGTGATAATGCACAATAATGTGTAATAATGTACAATAAAATAGAATAATGCATAATCATGTACAATAATATGTAATAATGTGTAATAATGTACAATAATATGGAATAATGTGTAGTAATGTACAATAATATGTAATAATGCCAAATAATATGTAATAATGTAGAGGTATTTATAATGATGTATAATAATCATAATATAGCCAATATCATAATTTGAACCAAGGTAATATCATAATATAGGACAATATAAAATAATAATAAAATAATAATATATAATACCATACGATATAGTTGGTAACATATAATAACATACTGTATAACTATTAACATACCATAATGTAATATTACAGAGTAATATGTAATAATGCGGGATAATGTATAATATAACTAATGACGATAATGTGTAATAATATAGAATAATGTGTAATAATATAGAATAATGTGTAATAGTATATAATAATGTTTAATAATATAGAATAATGTGTAATAGTATATAATAATGTTTAATAATATAAAATAATGTGTATTAATATATAATAATGTGTATTAATATATAATAATGTGTAATAATGCAGGGAAGAAAAAATTTTTCTTTTTATGGGAGTTCTTTTAGTTAGGGTTGGGGTGGTAATGCTACTAGTTTCTTGCTAGGTCGTTTTTTTACTAATATGTGCTTTAAACTATCCGTAAGTCTGTTTGCATAAATAACCGGTATATCCTCTATTGGAGTACCTTCGAATATCTCTTGCCATATCTGATGACAGTGCGAGCCGAAGTTTGCTAGGGATGGGGTGTAACTGAAGTGGAGGAATATATCTTTGCTGAAGTCCACTTTTCTTTTTTCTTTTTTATTCCATGATGGATCTAGTGTGAGTTCTCTCAGTCTCTGGTGGTCATTCCCTAAGAGTGTTCTCATTGTTGTCTCGCCTGTCAAATCATTATAGAATCTTCCCATGTGTTTATCTATGAATTTTGGTGGATATTTATTCAACAGTAGCATGATTCTAATCTTTTCTAATTCTTGTCGGAGATTTTCTGGATGCGAACATATACGAGTTGCTCTTAATGTGGCTGCGTATGGTATATTTCTAAATATATGGAGTGGATGTGCTGAACTAAATGGAAGGACATAGGGTTGGGCAGCTAATTTACGAAAAACGGTTGTTCTGAAATTGGGAACGTTTACGGAGGTTCTTACATCTAAATAGTCAATCGTTTTTCCCATTTCCCATGTAATACCTAAGTTTGGATCTTTTTTGCTCAAATCTGTTAGAATCTCTTCCATTTTTTCTGAGGATAGTCTTGTAGTTAAGAAAACGTCATCTCTAAAGCGAAAATGTAATTCATTCTGTTGACGCTGCTGTTCTACAATGGTGTTTTCCCATTTCCATACGTAGATATCTGCAAGTACTTGTGTGCATGCCGATCCCATTGCTCCTCCTTTTATTTGCTTGTAAAATTTTGGTTCCAGTCCTGGGAGTTGTAAGACGAAATATGAATTTTCTAATACGTGTAGAAAAAGGGTTTTTATTGTGTTTATTGATAAACCTCGAATCTTTTTGTAACCGTGCCTACCTAAGAATTCACATAAAACTAATACTGCTTCTTTTTGTGGGATCATAGTATATAAGTCCGTTATATCGAAAGTGTACAGGTTTGTTTCTGGTGTTGTCTCAAATTTTCTCAGATGGTTTAGAAAAATTATCGAGTTCGGAAGGGAGTATTGGGTGTGCTTGTCGAAAAGGGGTCGAATACATTTATCTAAGAAACTGGAAAGTTTCGCTAATGGAGATTTCATGCCACTAACGATTGGTCTAAGAGGCTCACCAATTTTATGATCCTTTGGATTGTAATAGAGGTGGGGTAGTTCTGAGTCATTGATAGAAGGTCGTAATCTGTCAAGCATATATTGAGGTAGCTGTTTTTTTGACACTAAACTTCGTAAGAATTCATCTGTTTTCTGGATCATTTCTTGTAGTGGTGATGTGGGTATTTCTACATATGCATTTGTTTTTTCCATATATATATTTGACTTTCTTATGTAGTTTTCTTTACTATCTATATGAAATACTTTCGATTTGTCTGTTTGTCGAAAAACAATTTTTTTCTTTTTCTGAATCTTTTCTAAAATTTTTAATGCTGGCTTGAGAGTCCGATCTTTTGGTATTTCTGTTGATACTGTTTTTTTAATTTCTTCTTCTATGCGTTGACAAAATTTTTCTACAATGGGCGGATTTCTTCCTATTGTATTGGTTGCTCGTCTCCATGTTTGTACTATCTTTTCTTTCATTTGATCTATCTCTTTCGGAAGACGTTCTATGACTTGTTCTGGTGCTGCTGGTACGAACTTTGGTCCTAAGTTAAGTATTCTAGTTTCTATGTTCTGTAAATTTAGAATCTTATTGTTGGCTTGAGGAGGAAAACTTATTTTGCTATAATGTGGATGAAATTTTCTTTTTTGTAGTCCTTGGTGATGATGGGATAGGGCGTGCATTAGTTTACGTTCATTATGCACGCCCTTTTCTCTAAAAAATTCAGTTTTTTCTTTGCAAATTGATTTTGTCTTATTTGTGTTACGTGACTTAGAGTATTGTATGATTCTCGATAGTGTTCTGGAAGTTCTTTTAATAATTCTTCGTATTCTTTGCTAGCTTTTTCTAATTCTGCAACTTTCGCTTGTCTCATAAGTGTAGTTAAATCTAATTTTGCTCTTCTAAGTATATTCTTCCATTGTTCTCTGAGCGAATTTAAATAGTTATCTTCTGGTCTTAATTCTTTTGCATATAGTTGTAATTTGTCAAATATATTTAGAGATGGTGGTGGCATGTTTTGCATGAATCTTATTTCTAACTTATCTAGTTGGAGCTTAAGATCTAATGTTCTTTTGTATTTATCTTGTAAAATTCGTACATGTTGTTGTTGTGCTTGTGTTGCTCTATAATTGATCTCTCTTGTAGCTTTTTCTCTCATTTGATCTAATAATAGATTATCTAATCGTTTTTGATCATTTTGCTTCTTATTTTCTAATATTTTTTCAGTAATACTTTTTACGAATGAAACTATTTGTGACCATTGATGTTCTGGAAATGATGTATGTAACTTATTTTCTCTATCATTTTCTAATATTTTTGCTTTTCTTTCAAGGAATTCTTGATGAATTTTTATAGTTTCAAATGTACATCTTTGCCTTATATTTTTGAAGTAATATTTGCATTCAATAGGTATGATCTCAAAATTATATGAACTATGTAGGTTGATATTGTTCTTTGGTACAACTGAAGGTGATCTTACTAGTGGTACCGGTGTTGAATTTTGTAGAGGCGATGAATTTTGTAAGGGTGATATTATAATTGATGGTTCTTTAATTGTTTTTTGAATTGGTGATTGCATTTCTATTTGTTCTATTTCAATATGTTTTTCTAATGGAAGTAATGTGTTAAAAGAATATTGTTGTTGTTGTTGTTTTTTATTCTGATTCTTATTATTGTTCTTAGCTGAGATTGGTGATGATTGAAGTGATCCTCCGACTAATGGAATATTATTGTCTCTTGGTGGTAATGTTTTTCTTGGTATTATAGGTGGAGGTTGTCTTGGTAATGGTGGTGGTGTAGGCGGATCATCTCGTCGGTGTCCTAGTTTTCGTTTTTGTCCTGGCATTGGTTCTGGTAACCATTCTTCAAAAATGTCTTCATAATCTGTAAAATCTAACGGAACTGGTCGATCTGTTAAACCTGTAGGTGATGGACGAGCTATGGGTATTCTATTATTATTTTCTTCTTCCTCCACTACTATTGTATCCATTTGTTCGATTTGTTCAACTATTTTTTTCTTCGTTGCTGCTGCTGTTACATAGACGTTTCATTTTTCTGCTTCTACTTTAAAGTATTCTGTCTGATAATGTATATTACTTAAAATGAAAATATCTTCTTTTTTACTTTCTAAGTCTGTAGGTATGCTGATCTTTCGTTCAAATTCTGCCTTATGTCTTAAAAAATGTGGATAGTGATTGATTAAGGTCTTACTTGGTATTTGTTGGTTTATTGTATAATTATTACATTTATCATTATTATTATCGTTATTATTAATATTAATATTGTTTCTATAATTATTTCGTTTAAACTGTGGTTTTTTTAATGATAAATAGTTGTTAGTTGTATCTTGTTGTTGTTGTTGCTGATTAATTTGGTGATATATTTTAGTTCGATTGTAATGGTTCTTATTTTGATTTAAATGTACATTATAATTTTTAGGTGTTGGTAAGTGATTATTTTCATCTTTATCTAAAGTAGAAAGTGAGAAACTATTTTTTTGTTTGAATAACCATCTATGTAGTGCTCTTTCAATGAGAATACGACCTGATGTTATTGATGGATGTAGACCATCTTGATGCATATGTTGATGTTGTAAATTGGCATTAATAATTTCAAAATTCATTTCATTAGATAAATTTTTAAGTAATTGATTAAATCTTTTATAATTTTTATCAATATCTAAAGAATTAAATAATTTCGATGGCTTCCATCTTGGAGAAAGTGTTAACCAGCCGATAGTTTTTAGTTGAGGAAAGATTTGTCTTGTACGTTCGATTAAGAAACGACAATTTTGAATAGCATTATCTGGTCCTAGATTAGCAACATCGTTTGTACATAAAGAAAAAATAAGAAAATCAGTTTCTTTTATCATTTTATTTTGAATTATTTTTTGTTGTTGTTCTAAAAAATTGAGCATTCGACTGCAATCACAGCCTGATTCAAAAGATATACTTACCTGCATATTATCTGAACTTACTTGGTTAGATCGTACATACTTACACATTGAATCTGATAATATTAATCCATTAAATTTATTTTTTGATATTGATAAATGATTTACATTTTTATTATCATCTATTATGTGATATGGAAACATTGTTGATCGATTTTTATATTGTTCAGCATGTTGAATTGTACGATAATTACGACGTGATGGTTTTTGAAAACAATCAAGAGACATAAGTGATGGTATTGTCGTACTAATTTTTGATAAATTATTATTATTATTATTAAAATTTGATGGTCTTGAGTTTATTTTTTTATTATTATGATTTGATATATCAGTATAACCAGAGAAAGTAGTTGTTGAACCTGTTTGAAATTTACGATAAGGATAACTTGTTTTACGTTGTGCAGTACCATAGAAATTGACTTTTTGATTCATATGACGATAAGTAAGATTATTGTTTGGTATATTAAATTGAACATGCATGTTGACTCTTTGAGCGAACGTATAAATTGGTTATGGTTCGACAATAATATATATATAACAATTTATTAAAATTGGGCAAGTCAACATGAACTTATTTGATTTTAATGAAGAGAAAAGATTTTCTAATGTTTAGTAATGAAAAATAATGGCGATAATTTTATTTTGTTTTTTTATATTATTTTTATTTTTTTTGTATTAGTGTTAAGATTTTAAGAGAAGATAAAGAGAAGGAAAAAAAAAAATTTTGAACAGAGAAAGAGAAAAAAAAAAGAAGTTTTTTCAGGAAAAAAAAAATTAAGTGAGGAAATAACGCAAGGCCTTTCGAATTTTTTCTTTTCAAGCGAGTGAGTGTGATAGAGAAGTTTAGCGTATGATATTTCTTGTGTATATATATTGCTTCAAGATCATCTATTGATTAACTTATAAAAATAGATATAACCGATCAAAGACAACGTTATTAATTAGCCTTCGAATTATCAAAGAATATATTTATATATGTACTATAATAATTGTTTTATTGAAATTTTCAAAATTAGAACAGGTGTTCTTTTCAATAGTGCTATTTCCTCATATCTCTATATAGATTATTTGTCAATGAAGAACAATTTGATCGATTTCAGGTTCGAACTAATGAATTATTATTTTTCATCTTTTTTTTTTTTGTTATTTACTTATCATTGCTTTTTATTGCATTACAATGCATTATTATGAATACATATTATGATGTTTATCGATTTTTTTTTCAAATAAAATATTAATGACAATGTGATGATATTCAGCATTTCAAATATGTTCAAGTGCATTACATCTTTACGAAATTATGATGCCGATTATGCTTAATGTATTATAATGCATTATAATTCAATGTCGTCATACTAATCGTAAATTTTAATGCATTAAAATACATTATAACTATATGAGTTCAGTAGTATCACTTACTCTGAATCTATTATCATGTATAACACTGGCTGATGACATTCCTTTTTTTCACACATTATGCTGTATTAAATTAAATGAAAATATTGATATGAATTCTATCTTATGTGTTATAATGCATTATGGTTAAAAACAAATCATGTCATACATATATTCAATATGTTCTAATGTAGAACAATTCAAACAATATGATCATTTTTATTATATTCAATATATGATTATGTTTTATGCTAAAACTATATAATAATATAATTTATTTCCTTAAATCTATTATTACATATGAGAATTCTAACAACATTATTTTACTTATCATACTGAATGTGTTAGAATATGTTACAGTTAAAAAAATATGCTTT